CCCCAAAACCCCAAAACCCCAAAACCCCAAAACCCCAAAACCCCAAAACCCCGATATTTCCTGGCAATATTGACAGTAAGTTATGCAATCTTTGGAAAGGTTGCGCAATTATGAGAACACAATTTCGAACTTACTGTTTTTGGTGATTTCCTTCACAACTTGTTTTGGGATTTCAAGCCTGTATACATAGATTTCATAGATTGAGTCTCCTAGCGAAGAGTTTTCCAGAGCTTTAATGAAGATCTCAAATGCCTTTTCAGTAAATTTAGTGTCATAGAGATTCATTCATGGCAATGTTGCCCTTTCTTCAGTTGAGAAATCAAGGGTGTCTTCTTCCAAAGATTCAATAAATTCATTCTCCTCTTGGGAAAAATGAGGCAGAGAGTTGTGCGGGATTAATAAATTGCATCTTTCAAGGCAGAATTTCTTCTTGTTAGCTCATATTTTCATCAATTTCTCAAGATCTCGCTTCTCAAAGGTGAACCAGCCGATGAAGATCTCTTTAGTTACTCTTGGAAGTAAGCAGTCTAAATAGCTCTTGAATCGTGGTCCCTTCCTGAAGAATCCTGTTAACGATGCTATCTCTAAGTCGCCAGTGAGGCATTCTTGGCATAGCTCAATCAGGTCTTCTTGGTCGCCATTAAGGCTGCTTCATGAAATACCTTTAATTTGTGGGAGTATAAAATTTTTCAAATTTGTCAACACTTTTTGATATTGTTTCGAATGTAAAGGAAGGTCCAAGATCATATTCTCATTAGCATTCTCTCCATTTGCTTGGTCTTCAAGAACCTCGTTATTACTGTAGTTATAGAGTTCATATATTTGTTGATAAGAGATTACTTCCTTCTCCTTTTCATCAAGTAGAGTTTCAACCTCATCAACTTCTTCTGTGATCTCCTGAACAGTTTCTCTTGAAGGGTATAATTTTGATATTTTGGCTTTAAATTGTACTCTCTGACTGAGCTTGAAGCGAATGTCTTCGATCATCGCAGGTCCGAGCTTATGACAAACGTCAGGATTTGCGCTAATTCTATTGAAATTGTCCTTGAACAGGAGATTTTTGAACCCAAGAATTACATTGTTGCATCTTCTCATGACTTTCTGAAGACGATCACCTTCATTGCCGAATTTTGTCTCATAGATCTGTGTTTGTGTATGGATTCAATTTTGCTCTCACTCAAATAGTTTGCTGATTCCTTCAGTAGAGATATTTCTAAAATAGGTAAAACTTCATGCTAAAAATGAAAACTGAAGAAAGGTTTATTCTGTTACTTACTCGTGCTCTGACAAATACTTCTGCATAATTTCAAGGATAAACTTATTGACTATATACCCCTCAACTACCATAGGTATTTTATTGAATGGATTTCCTGAGCCTTCAACAATGAAGTTAAACCTTGTATTGGCAAGATCTAGTTCAAGTCGTGTACATTCACAATCTAAAGTATCACCTTATGTATTACTAAAATGGCTGAGAAGCATGCAGTAGCTACATAAATATATCAATCAATCATCACACTTGAAGCATGAGAGATCTTTACATCCTTTGCCTTCACAATCAGGAGTGGGATTATCTAAAAGAGGCTCCATTATATAATCCAAATCAATAAAGAGGATTTTATAAGGGGTTTTGGGGTTTTGGGGTTTTGGGGTTTTGGGG